TTTCATTAATTAGTTGTTCTATTCATATAAAATAATAATAATAATAAAAATTCTCCAAAACTGAAAACTAAGAAAATGTGAACAGAGGATAATCATATATTTATATTCACAGTATATGGTAGCTTACCTATGTCAGCCATCAGAGAGGTTGTTTCTTCTATTTTTTTTTCATTTTAGGTCTTGATTTGCTTAATATAGAATAACAGCATAATCCAAAAGCTGCAGGGTTGTTTTTCTTTCACCTTATATTCACTCATAAATAAAATTCAGTGTTGTGTTTTTTTCCCTGCATTTCCCTTTTTTTTTTTTCTTGCTAAACACTGATATAAATGTTAAATTAGCAGTAACAGTCATTTTTATCTATATTTTTATCAAGATTGGTTAAAAAGAACTTATTAACTTAAATAGAACTTGGCCCCAGACCCACGGCTGTAAGAAATGCTACTTATTTTAGTAAAAGCCGAGATGCTTAACAAATTAGAGAAGTTTTTTGGTGGATACACATTCTAGAAAGAAAAAAGAAAAAAAAAAAAAAAGGAAGAAGAGAGGAGAGGAGAGGAGAGAAATCTATCTGGATTAACTTCTTAGCTGTCAGGGTGTGATTTTGGCACTCACTCCTGCTGGTCCCATTCTTATGTCATTCCAAACATTAAGCACTCTAACAGTGCTGTGTGTCTAGCAATGGCATGTAGTCAATCTTAATAATTGAAGTGATCATAGGAACACCGTTTTTGCTGAATTCATTGAATTTGAGCATTACTTGACCATGGATAGTCACCTGAATAGTCAAAACCTGAAATAACCTTTGGCAAAAGGTTTTCAATTGGAAAGAAGAAAAAAAAAAAAAAGGAGATCTGTTAAACTGCATCCTCCCTGAGAGTTAATATTTGCCAGTAACAATAGTAGGAGGTCTGAGCAGTTGAAATTGGAATATCAGCACCCTTCATCTTTGCTTAAGGTTAGCCTATTACATTTGCTGTTCTGCAATATGCCAAATATAAAACTTTTTATTATACTTCTATTGAAAATTCTGGATGTCCTCATAAAAGTCTAAATGTTAAAGGAACAATATTAATAAGTCATCTAGTACTTTTTGCATTCACACATATTTCTTGGTAGTAAAAGAATATTACATTGCATCAGCTGTGCAGAACAGAATTTTGATTCTTGTTCCGGGTCAGTTAAAATGTGTATATAACAGAATTTGAGTCTGTTATCTGGTGCTGGAGCTTAAGTCTTGTATGCTGTATTGACCTTAGTTTGGTTGTGCAGGTTGGAGTTTTTGTTGTGTTTGTGTTTTTGTTTGTGTTTTTTAATCTATGACTGTGTTTCAGCAAACATAGGAAGATTTCAAATAGACAGCTGGTCATTTGAGGGTGTCTTTCAGTTAAAGTGTATGAAAAGATGGCAATTATCCAATGAATTAATTTCATTCAGATGAAGTTAATAATACAAAACTGTTTTAATTGTCCAGTTTTACAGCACTGCTTAACATTCCATCATCTTCAGTAGTAAGCATTTTCAGTGTTATGCCATTAGTTTTGTAACGTGATTCAAAATTTTAATGCTCTTTTGAAATCACATACAGGAATATTCTTTATGTGTATCTATTTTGTACATTGTTCTCAGGTAGTCTGGATAGATCAGTGGGATTTTTTTTCCTTCTTTAGTTAGAACAAGAGTTATGCTAGTACGTATATATAGCATACAGCTTTGTTTATCTGACACCAGTTTGTTCCAAATACATCTATTTATATGTATGTCCCTCAAAAAGTAATGCCTCCTATTTATTTCCATGGAAACTATCACAAATTCTCAGCTACAAAGCTCTGTTTTGCAACATAGTCACCACCCTGTTTGGTCTTCGTAGGCGTTTATCAAGCGTCAACAAATTACTTGTGGTTCCCTTCCAACTTGGGATATTCTACAATTCTATGATTCTGTGTGCTTTATATAACTATTTTTATGTGTAATTTTAAGGCTGTTGTATTATAAGAAGTTCTGAATGGAGTTTCTTAGATATCATATGGATCATTTATCCCTTCTTGTTTTGTACAGTGAGTATTTGAACATGAGATATTAAAAAGCTTATCGTAGAAAAGAAGAATGGATTAATTTCTTTTTCTTAAATATGCTTATTTGTCAAGTAATGCTGTTCATCTGTTATGGCATTTACTCATGTTCAATGGCCATGACATTTATTACTTTATGTTAATCAGATTAGATAGGTGTGGTGATGATTGGAGGTCTGAATATAATGAAAATGAATGAACTGCTGTACTTAGTGACAAATATTTGCAGAGACAGTAGGAAAAAATGCACAATGTACTATGAACAAAATTCTGTAACCAGTGTATAAACAAAAAGCAAATTTCATTTTGACTGTTTATTCTAAGCTTTCTTGAATTTCTTTCTGAAAATTTTATGATACAAACTGTCCTGTATAGTGGTAACTTTCAGAGGAGAGTGTCTAAATTAGCATACCTGTACACATTCCAGCTACTACAACAAAATTCAGGGTGCGTGTACTTCGTGCACATAGCATGGTAAATGCTGATCTTCTTTCTGACATTTAAGCCCAGGAAATTGTCAGGCATTCACACCTCTGTTGAGTGTTCCTGTAACTCTCTCTCATTGCTGAAAGACTTGGTGCTGCATAACTGAACTAGTCACCGATCCTTATTATTTTTACTAAAGTGGTCCAGTGCCACAATGCCCAATGGACATGCAGTTTGACTTATACAGTGAGCTCAGTACAGGTCAGAGCAGTGGAACACTGTTGGGCTGTTGCCTCTTTGAGGGAAATGAATACATTCAGGGATCAGGGAAAATGATTCACAATCATCTCTTTTCAAAACTCTTTTAATTGTTGCAACAACAGGACTGAAGAGTTTTAATTTTCCTGTCTGGCAGACATTCAATTCTCTTCAATACACCTTGTTAGCTGTCTTACCTGCTACTATGCTGTTCTAAATCCCTTTTTACATTTTCTATCAAAGATCCAAAATAGTTTTCATTCTGGAAACATAATCTTTAAGATTTCAGGACTTTTTACCTTACTACTCTGCTGTTTTCCACGCAAAACACAATTTGTCATTTTGTGCTTAATTTGTAACATTTGTTCATTCAGAAGATGTTATTGAATTGTGATAATTTGTAGGTATATGTCTAAGTAATTGCAGCTTTGAACTAAGAAGTCCAAAGTAGAACATACACGTACATGCCTCAGATGAATAAATGAACTTGTAGAGCATAACATAAGTTTTCTTATGTGAATTATAAATGTTTTTCAAGATTATATGCATACAGTTATTATAGAGTGTGCTTGTTTCTGACAGTGGGCATATTAAGAAGTTCTTTCAGTTGTCACAGTAGTGAGAGAATGCTGATCTACTTTGCTTTCTATACAGCTGTGGTACCTATTCTGGTGATCATGGCTACAAATGCTAGTGTGGGAGGAGAAACAATATCATTCTCACAGCACCGTGGTCTGCAGAGCATGGAAAATATAGTGTGGAAATGGACATCAACCTAGATAAACCCAGTGGCTGCTGAGTTTCCTTCTCTTCAATATAGCTGAAGGTAAAAATTTTCTGACATTTATTATATTAGTGAAGGTGGGAGAAAGGAAACAAAGACTGATTGATAGAAGAACAAAATTTTGACCAACCTCAGAGAGTTGCTGTGACTCTTAAACAAGAAAAGTCCCCACTTGGAATACACAGTATTTGCGCACTATAGAATCCATAGAGAAAAGGCAAAATTAAGTGCACCTCTAGAGATAGAAGCAGCAGAAGACAGAATTATATTCTCTACAGTATTCAAACAGGATTTCGTTTCCTGTACTTCCTGGAACCAAGGAGAAAGTTGTCCACTTCTGGCTGCTGTGTGGAAATCAAAAAAGATGTATTGCAAGGTCCACCCCAAATGGACACAATAACAACATGTGCAGTGGACAGCTGTATGTGAATTTATTTTTGAAAGATGGAGAATTCTTTCTAGCATAGCCAGTACTTGAAATATTTATAATATGCAGCAGGATATAAAAAGTTTTCCATTAGTGTTTCCCTTCTCTCCCTGCTTTTTATTTTGAAGGGAGAGAATCATTCCAAAGTTACTGAGGCCATAATGTGTTCATCTAAGGCATTGGAAAAATATGCAGAAGCAGATTAAAATCAGATGCCAAAAAAGGCTGAAATTAGATGGCTGGGGTTGTTCCCAGCCCAGCTGTCTGCTTTGCTCTGCAGATGAATGATCAGTTTTCCACCTCAGATGGGTGTGAGATGATTTCATGAGCCAGCTCACTAGCATAGATTTTAGTCTTTCCTGTTCAAAAAAGTGGAAAGGAGTGTGACAAATTCTGTAGTGGTAACTGTAAATTTCATTATACCTTTTTTGTTTGGGGTTTTAAAATAAAGGGGAGGGAAAGATGAGGAAAACTTTTTTAAAATTTCCTTCTGAGGTAGGCGAAGGGTAATAGAGTGTGGAAGGAGCCCACGTGAATCTTTAAGCCTCACTCCTGGTTTCAGAGAGGATTACCTAAAAACTAAACTATATTTTTGATAGTGTTATCCAAATGCTTATTGAATTCCAGCAGGCTTGGTGTTGTACCCTGACGCTGCTCCATGCAATTCCCTTCGGCCCTGTTGCTGTCACCTGAGAGCAGAGCTCAGCGCCAGCCCAAACTCCCTGTGAGGAGATGCAGGCTGCCATGAGGCCTCCCCTCTTCAAGCTGAACAAAATAAATAACCTCAGAGACGGGCAATCTTTCTATATATGCATGATTCCTTAGGAGAAACAAGCAGCCATATGTTATCACAATTTCAGCATTTGTTATTTGAGGAGGCAGAGGCCATATTTGCTCCCAGGTGATGAATAATTAATAAGAAATCACACAGGTGTTCTCAGAACAGAGGATCCTTTCTGTTCAGCTGGTAGGAGTCTGTGCTCTGTTTAAAAATGTGATAAAAATGTTTGTAAAGATGCTTGTTTCATAGGAACGTTTTTTGGGGAGCTTCCTTTCTTGTGTGCAAGGAAGATTAATCAGGTATAGCTCAGGAATGCCTTTAGCATCCTACACAGTGAGGGGTAAGCTAAATTCACTTCTGTAGATGGGGAAAGATAGTACTTATATTTTAAGACTGTCACTCATAATATTGTTAATTTCTGTATTATTTTATTTCCTTAAGAAAGATCAACTAGCCTAACAATGAAATCATTTTATTTTCAATGTGATTGTCTTGATTTGTCCACTAATAAGGAGATAAAAGTAAACTGTGATCAACTTTGAAATAACTCAAATTTCACTTGTAAGTAGTTCATGCAGTTTTATAGCAGTAAATACTTGTCATTGCTCAAGTAATGCTTGAATAGAAGCAGAGGTTTTTATTCATGTGAGCATCTACTAACAAGCTGAAGTGATTTGTTAAAGTCAAATAAGAAAAAGAAGCACCTGGAGGAAGACAATAATGAGATATGTGCAGAAAACAAATACAGTCTAGTTTTGGTCCCTTGTACAGTCCTACATCTGTACATTCTTCTTTTTTGGAGTACTTCAGGTATTTTTTGGTTGAATTATTGCCCATCTAATTGACAGACCAGTTAGTTGACAATAATAACTAGCTGCTTTAGTCTGCTACTATTGTATTTGTCTAGTGAACTCAATGGTTGTTCCAGGAGGGTAAGCATGCAGCTCCTCTTTATTATTATTGTTTGTTTTCTTTGTGGGCGTTTCTGTTTTGTTTTGTTTGTTTGTTTTTGGCAAGGCATAAACTCCTAACATGAGGAGTCAGTGAAAATCTTCTTCGAAAAGATTGAAAAAGCAAAACTTTAGATTCCAGTTTCTTGCATTTTAAAAAAAGCTCTACTAGTGCTTTGATATTGAATTTATATGTCAGTCTATGAAGGAGGTATGTATCAAAAACTGTTTTATTATTGTGCTGAAGTATATTCTTATTTTTATTATGGCTACTTGTGTTATCATTTTTTTTTCTTGCTCTTTTTTTCCATGACTGGTTTTTTTGCACTAGATATAAGCTTGTAAATTGTTTTAATCTTTACTTCAAGAATAATTTAATCTTGGGGATTATGTTCTCCAATATAATTCATGACTTTTTAATGTTCTTGGTCAGCCGATGAAATAGCTTTGGCATTTAGAAGATCTTCAAGTTGTTAATTATTGTGTTTCTAGATCCTCCGTGAATGTAATTTGTATAGTATATCACATGCTGTAAAAAAGGCAGAAAACTTATTGTCAAATTAGAATTTTTAATGTACCAGTAAATTTTGATGACAATGCTATAAAAAGACAAACTTTCCTTTGCAATAACTTTTCACATGTGTCTTACTGAGATACTTATGGAATAGCTTCCAAAAAAAAAAAAAAAAAAAGTAGTGATTTTATATCAGATTTAAGTAACCTGGAATATTCCTTAACAAAGGGTCTTTCAGCTACTCTATGTTGACTTTTAGAGGTCACATTCTGTGCACGAGGAAGTAATAGACACTTGAAATATTTATGATGGTATGTTGTGTTCCTCCATGTTCAAACAATATCACAGTCTGGGTAATGCTGATTGGTATTGGGTTTGTTTGTTTTCGTAATAGGTTTTCTGTTTATTTGCTTTTTTTTTTTTTTTTTTCTAGTTAAGAAACATTATCTTTTTGCTGTTATTAGTATTGCTTTATAAATTTACAATATTAATTTGTCACCGTCAGGAAAAAAAAAATCCTAAATGCTGTTAATATTTTTATGCCTGTCAAAAAACATTTGATGAAATATGCAAATCTACAAATCTGCTCTTTTGTACAGCTGTGAAGTGCTTTAGTCTTGAAATTGCTATGGAGTCAGTGCCTTTCTTTAAAAGTGAAAATTATTAATCTGGATCACAAGAAGGCTTGGATTTTTGGAACTGGGATAATCTCATGCAACTGAAGATGTTCATGAAGTAGGTATCATTTGAGAAATAGTTGTTATTTGAAATAGTCTTTTATGCTGCCTTTACAGCTAAAATATAGGGACTTCTACAGCATGATTCATCTTACTCTAATCTTCCTCTAAGATACTTCAGGATTATATGATTCATGCTATAGAAAGTATGTATTTCTTGGTTTTGATTTTTAAAACAGTTGAGAAGACTAACTGAGCCATGGATGTGATATCTCAACAGTTAAATCCCAGCTGTAGTGTTTTGATAGTTTATAGTACTTAACTTTTCTATTTTACCTGCCTGTGAAACTAGCTTTATGTGAAAGCTAAAATCTCTCAAAAGTAAAGATATATTGGTCTTCTATTCCAAAGTTACCCTGGCCCTCTGGCAGGCTGACCTACCTGTGTTGCAATAACAGCACAGGAAGAGCAGAACTGGGAATAGAAAGTTTCAGAATGGAAGCTAGCTTGTGTGTAGTATTGATCAGTGAGCTGATATTCTACAATTCTGCTGAGGTTTTGCAGGAATGGGAGGGTAAGATGTGAACCAAATTAAAGGAGACCTGAACCAGCAGTCTCCAGGTATAATAAGCATAGGTACCTAAATGGAAGAACTGATGTCTGGACTTAAAAATGTGTTGTTGGGTTAAAAAAACAATGAAAGTCCTAATGACTGTTCATGATTTTACATCCTCAAAACACTCATTAGGCTTTTCTGTGCCTGTCTAAAAATGATTGCAGTAGTTCTATTTCACAACCTTGGATTATGTAAGTAGTAATAAGGCACTGTAATTGCAACTCTTTAAATTTTCAGAACTATGATTTGTTTTAGTTAAGACTCTCTTTTGAGTACTTAAGGATTGCATATACATTTTTAATTTCAATTGTTCCATTGAATTGTATTACATACAAAGTAAAAATGCAGTATAACAAACTACCACAATTTTGAGCATCAACTACAGATGCACAGAATATAATTACACATTACCTAGCACCTTTTTTCTATGAAATTACTGAACTTGGCATAAACAGTGTTAGCAGCAACAGAAATTTTATGGGGATTTATTTTAAATTTATTTGTGCAGATTTTATTTATTTCTAATGAATGTAAGTTAATTGGCATTACTTTCTGATATTGTAACACTGTTGTAGCTTGGGATGAACATTAATCCTTAGATGTAGCTCTGAGTTGTGTACTCAATAGTAAACAAAAAAACAGTGCTTCTCAGGAGAACTGAATGGGAGAGAGCTTAAAATTTGTACAGAAATGTAATGTTTGAAACGTCTTCCAAAATATTTTCTATAACATATAACCTCTACAGTAAAACAGGTAATTGGTATCACAAATGAACTGCAGAGAACAAATTACACCATGCTCACCCCATATCCAGTATATGTAGTGCTTTTCCTTGAAACACCTGCTTTCATTTTGTCTTCAATGTAATACTAGAACAAATGCTAGATAAGCTGGATTCTATGTTGACTCTCAATAGCCAGACCCAGTGCTTTTAACGTAAAATGTACAATGAGGTAAATGATATGTGTCTGACATACATGGATAATGATGTAAAGTCTCTGAATATTTTTTCTAAATGCAGAGACGTAACAGGTGCTTTAGATGTGGAACAGAGTCTAATTCTTGCTATTTCTGCATTGGCAATATCTGAATGAAAATATTTTTCTGCATTTTAAACAGGCAATTTGCTTCAAAAAAAGGTTTGGCTAGAAATATGGTTACTGAGTATCAGGAGCAAAATAGGATAGGTATATCTGTCTTCTGGAAAAAAAGGAAAGGCAAAATAGCTGTGTAAACTTGTAGCTGGCAGTTCACCAACTTTATAATGTTAAATTGAACAAGATATCTTTAGCATATGTAGACTTAGCAAATGCTAAGTCACAGCTTGAAGCAGTGATTGAACACCTGGTGGGAGGGCAGGGCCAACCCAGGGAAGCTCAGGTGCATGCAACGAACCTGAGCAACCAGAAGGGATAGAGCCAGGATGCACTTGTTCCCAGCCCTCATTTAAGGGTTGGCAGTGGAGGCAAGGGTATCTCACTGGTGATCCCTGTGTACCCAAGTCCTTCCAAGGGTAAGGAAATTATTTCCTTTGTTTCTGTTTCCATAGCTGCTGTATTTGACCATATTCTTACTTGCTGTAGCCTAGGAGTTTACTACTATACTGTTGTTGCGCTGCTTTCCATTGCAGTACAACATACAAGAAGAAAATATTCTCAAACACATTGATCATCTCTGCTCTAATGAGAAGAATGGTAGTTCAGACTTGATATACTGAATATAATTGATTCAAATAAAATGTGTGCTTCTTGATGGGTGAATAAAATTAAATCTTACTTTCTAATGAACAGAAATAGTTAAGAACTGCCACAAGCTATAATTATATCAAACAAAAATATCAGACAGTGTACTTGTGAAATTGAGAAGTACCTTGCAGGTGTTTCATGTTCTAGAAAAGTCTGAATCTTCACTTTTTTGCATCACATACAATGAAATGAAAATTAAATCAGAATTTTAAGATATAGGTAAATTATTTTATAATTGCATTTTGTTTATAGAAGCACTAAAACTAAAGACTGCTCAAGCTATGCCTTTGATATATTGTGGCGGATATTTGGCATATTTTATTCTTAAAAACCAGTAATTCTGAACTGTTCTTGGATATAAAAACAACAACCTGTATCATCTTATATGTGAAACAAGCTGTGTCATATGAATAAATGTGAAATCTATTTTAGATGTAGCTGTATGCAGTTCCAAGTAATTTTTTTTTTCTCCCAGATCTTGCCAATAATAAATGAGACTTAAAATATAAACCAAGACTCGCTAGATTTCTCATGGTACATTATTGATGAAGTACACTTACTGTAACAACATCTTCCAAGGGAAAATACATTATTTGGTGGTGATGTTAATAGACACTTATGCTGAAGTTTGTGTTATGCTTTTTCAAAAATATTTCTTGTGGAGGAAGTTTTATAAACAGGCTTTGAAATTGTTGCATCATGTAATTTAATTAATACTATTCATAAAATAAATCTTCAAATTCTCTATGTTGCTCAAAAATATATGAAAATAATACTGTTTCAGAACATGTCAATTAAACTTGAGAGAATATTTTGTTTCTTTTTCAAGATACTATTGGAAATATTTGTTTTTCTAGCAGTTCTTATTTTCTACATGAGGGTGTCTCTTGATTTCCCGAAGTTGCAAAACAATTGGTCATTCTAAGATATTTTAATGAAAATCTTTGCAGTGCTTATCTCAGTTGTCTTCTGATTTCTACTTCTATTGAAATTCAAACCTGTTTTTAAAGCTCCCATCCTAAAAAAAAAAAAAAAAAAAAAAAAAGCAAACAAAAAAAAAACCTTGTAATTTGTCCAAGGGAATGTGATAATATGTAATTAATGAATGGTGCAGTGTTGCAGTGTCTTGGTCTACACATAATGTTTGAGCTTTAACAAGAGTGATATGGCTGAGTTTAAAGTCAGGATTGCAAGAAAATAGTGTAACTGTACTATCTGAGCAAGTCAGTACTTGTTAGTGCACAAATGCTTTCCTTGGTAATTTGACCTTTTCATCTCTATGGGATTTGTTAGGTCACAGCTGGAACCACTGATGGAGCACCTGGTGAAAGGGTGTAGCCAGCTCTGGGAACACAGGTGGAAACAATTCCTCCTAACCTCATATAATGGCTGGCAGCTGGGAAAAACTTCTACTTCGAAATCATCTCCTTTGGAGTGTTTGGTGCTTTATCCTTGGAATGGGGTGAGTGATTCCTTCTTTATTTCTGGATTATAACCACTATCTTTCTTGGGTTTGTAGTGACTATGTTTGCTGCTGCCTATCCTTACATCATCTTAAAATGTTTCTTGCTTAAAAAAACAAAAACCCACTAATTTGGGGGGTGGGGAGGAATACAGTTCAGTAGCACTGTATTTTGGGAATAATATTCTGTCTACTAAACTTTAACATAATGCTATCTGGCAGTAGTTATTCATTACTGACTCATTATTATTACTTTGTCATTTGTCTTGGCTTGAAAAGTGCTTGCAATTCAAGAGTACTGTTTGCAACTGGTAGTTCTGGTCTTGGGAGAAGACTAGGGTCAGGAAACAATATATTAATTGAAAGTTGTTCAGTTTGACTGAAAAAGTCTGAAGTTAGAGAAGAAGAAATTGATTAACCAAGGCATGGTTTATTTCCATTACACTTTGAAGTTGAAGAAGTTAACCCGTATTCCTCCAAATTGCATGGGAAAAAGTTTTTTTTTTTTTTTTTTTTTATTATCTAATGACAGGCTATGGGAATTGGGATTCATAATTTTCATTGTATCTCGTAATATCTCATTCTCATTGTATTCTCATAATTCTCAGTGACTGATTGTCTTGGTTGTCTACCTCTACGTGCAAAGAGCTGTAAATGATCTTAACATTGACTCAGCAGGAGGTGCTGTTAGGGCTCCCTTAGAGCTATCATTCTTGATACTATTGCTTTTGCCATCCAGATTGGTTTTTATTCTCAGAGACCTTATATGAATGTTTTACTATAAAGCAAGCATGTTAACAAGACCTATTAACAGGTATATTTCTTTTAATCTGATACTGCATAGGCAGGGATAAAGAAAACTACAGGATGTTACTGGCATTAGAGCTTTTAAATATTGACAGTAATTTCAATGTGCTTGGAAAGATTTTTCTTGCCTGTTATTTAACTGAGGCTTTGTTTAACAACTTGTTTACGCCGATAGATGTTTCAATTTTTTATGACTGTGTGTGAGAGGGATTTTGCTAGCAAGAAGAAATGTTTTCAATATAAATCAATGTTTTCAGTATTGATTAAAATTTCAACTGTTCTCAAATATCATGTTTTTAAGTTAAGAAGTTGTGTTTAAAACAGACATGTTTCTGTTACTTGCCTCAGTGAAGTCAATGGGCATGTTTCTAGGTAGCTGGTACTGTAGCAAGAGCTGCATTTCCAATCTATTTAGATGAATCTGTGGCTGTTAATATCAAATCATATGTAATTATATATACAGGGATAATAGGACATGGATGGATGGCTAGCGCAGCTTAAGAAGTGCATTAGATTTCAGCGTTCATGGTGGTGGTTAAAATGTTAATTAACAACATTAGAAAGGAACTTTGCACTACTTGGGAAATCTTCTTGACGTGCAGAAAAAAAGTTGCTTTCAGCTGTGCCTCATTAATCAGATCTGCCTAAAGCTATGAAAGTGTCACCTAAGTATGTTTTGTTTTCTGCTGTGTGTTGCTGATGAAGATACTGACTTACAAAATAGAAGTAATTGGATTTGTGCTAGAAGGCAATAGTAAAAGTAAAATGCAGTGAATTGGAATGTGCTTTATGACTGACCTTTGTAAAGGAGATGCCTAAGGCAGCTCCATGTGGTGGCTGTCATTATTAATGGTGACTATAGATTCTAGTTTGTTTTAGCAGTCATACACATGAATTACTTTTGCATGCGTCTTATCTGCCGTAGATTTTACACAATGTCTTTGCATGACAGCAAGGAGCTATAGCCTTCAGGTTTGGAGAATTATCCAAGAAGGCCTTTGTCCTCTGTATTCATCATTGCTATTGTGTTTCTGGAGGTGTGAAATAAAACAAACATCTTAATGTGCCATCCTATGAAGAAGCAATGAGCTTATATTAAGGATTCCCACATGAGGGAGCAAAGTGAGTGCTAGCTATTTTATTTGTGCATGGGATTGTTCTATAACTCTACAAGGAGAGGCTGGTCTGGGAGACAGTCCATGGCCAAATCAATCTGTAGTGCTTTCATGATATTCTGTACACTAATCCAGTTTAAACAAAAAATAATTGAGATCTGAAACTTTAAGGTTTAGATCTGGAGTTCATGGTAAGCTGTTCTTTAACGAAAGGGTTGGAAAATACATCTATGCCACTACAGGAAGTAAAAAATAAATCAGAACATGGCATGTTATAATCTCATGTTATACCTAAAGATTTTACTGGGAGCAGAAACAGTTTTCCTTGTTGTAGCTCCTGGTGAAACCTGTAAGAGTCCTTGGGCTTGGAATATCAGACTTACCAACAGTACATGAGTGTCCTTGGGAGGTAGGGAGGGAGTGTATACATGTATACTAATCTTTCAGTGAATAAATTTACTTGTTTTGCAGAAAATCCTCTTAAGACCATTCATTTTTGTAATAATCCTGCTATTTTTGTCAGCCAAAACTGAGATGTCTTATAAGCATACCAAAACTTTTTAGAGGTGTAGCAATAAAGTCAAGAGAATGTGCACCAAATATATTCAGTGCTTTGGTGTAATTAGTCTTGACAAAACTTAAAATGGAAAAAAAAAAAAAGTCTGCAGTAGTTAACATTTTACAATTTAAAAAAAAAAAAAAAAAAGGATGATGATTAAATGACTATCAGGATAGATGGTTCTTGTCTGCTGGTCAGATTAGAGGGGGATGGGTGTAAGAAGGACAACTTAATTAAATGACTAAAGAAACTTCTGCTGATCACTGATGTACAAACATTTAAGCATCATATTCTGAGCTCAATGGGAAATGTGGGTGTGACGGTGATCTCAATACTTAAAAAATGTGATGTGCTTGATGATGTGTAGAAAGTCTGTGTTTACATCCAATGCTTTCTTTAGAAGTCCGGAGAAATATTTATAGCATAGTGTCTTCTATGTTCTTACAATTTTGACAAGAATAGCATTGTTCAACTGAGTTTTATCACAGTTAACATTATTTCTGCCAAAACACAAAAATGAAGATTTATAAGTGGCAAGAGTTTCTCCTATTTTCGAATATTAGGTAATAGCTAATAAATCTTTTCAAGTAAAACATAAGAACTGAGTAGAAGAGCATATGTTTGGATGTAAAAGTTTGTACTATGAACAGAAACTTATAACTCCTATGTGTAGGAAAAGGAGAAGGTGCCATGCTTGCACCAAAACGCATCATTTTGCAGGGATCTAAAGACAAAGACCAACATGAAGTTGTAGGCTCTCCTCCTTGAAAACTAAACATTGTTGAAGATGTGGAATTCTTTTATAGTACGTGGAATTGGCCAAACTTCAGTGACAGAATAAGAGACTTTTCAGCTTTCAGGAATGAATGATGCAGAGGTTATTATGTATTGTTTAAAGTAATGCCTGTTTAAATAGAAGTCAGAAGGATTGTTAATTACCATGGAAATGAATGTAATTTAGGCTTTGAAAAAAAATGATAAATCAACATAAACTTTTTCAAAAGCAAATCTGGTAACGGAGCATATGAGAAGTAGCTTAAACTGCTTATCACTCAGCTGTGCAGAGTGTACTTAGATCCTTAATTCTTTCAGTGTTGATTCTTATTGTCTAGGCTTAGACTTAAAGAGTAACTTCAATAAAGAACTTTGGATGGAGTAAGGCCTTTGCCTAGTCAAAAGTTAAATGACAGAAAGGAGCTTGTGTTCTCGTACTCTCCTTTCTTTGAATTGTCTCAGGCATACTTACAAGCATTCCTTTACTTCCACGTATTCGTTACTCCATAGAACATGTGAAGGAGAAGATTTTTTTCTACAATAGCTTTCCTTTACCAGTTTTTTTTCTAACACGTTTAACTCAAAAGTTCCTCTGAACTGGTTTCTCAGAGGCATATCCTTCAGCACAATGATAATGAATAACTTCAAGGTTAAAACCATGAGGAAGTCTTTTGTTTCAAACTTAAATATTCATTCAAGGACTAATGATACTGAAGACATATGTAATGCAGAGAGAAATTGGAAAATCTTCCTTGCACATGTCCATTAATGCATTACTTCATGATGGTGGAAGAGATTTAGCAATATTTCCATGACAGACAAAAATCTTCGCCATCCTTTTATTCATGTTTCAAAGATGGTGGTTCTTTATCTCAATAAATGATCATCCCTCACAGTTTTCATAGTGTGGAGTACCTTAGTAGTCTTTGAATGATTACAAAGATGCAAGATGTGTTTTTTTACATGTCTATTCAGATTTGGCTGTTATTACGATTTGAGCAAGTGAAGAGAGGGCATGGTTCAGGAATTTTTTCATGAATAGCAATTTTAGGTAAATACTGAGAATGAAGGTGAAATATGGGTTTCTGAGTTGTAGTGAAGAAAGATGAGAATCAGATGGAAAATTATAATTTAAATATAGAAATATAGTGTCTACAAATGTTTAATCATATTAGCTCACATTTGGAATGTCAGATATCAAGTACATAAAAAGGATTCTAAAGAGAGATCAGAAATTATCTATGGAAATAAAAAAGATAAAGAGGTAAGAAATGAAGTTTCAGTAGGTTATAGCTTGGGTGCTTGTAGGTGTCACCTTCTCAGAAAATAAATATAATCATGAAAACTATGAATAAGACACTTATTACTTAAATCATCTGAACTTGTTAGCTGTGTAATTTTTCTGATCAATTTACTAAAGGTAAAAGTTTTAAGAGTTTTGAGTAAGAATCTTTTTAGCTAGCAATGATGCTAGCTAAATGCTTCTGCAATATGTGCATTTGTACGAAGCTAGGAGCCAGTTACTGAATTTAAGTTCCAATAACTTTTTCATTTAACTCTCCTTCTGATATGTGATTGCAATACTGTTTATGTTAAGATAAAAGTTTTCTCTCTTAGGTGGGACTAAGCAGGCAGTTCACTGCTTGTCTCTTAGCAGTATATCAGTTAAAATTTTATGAACTTGTCTATGGAATTTCTCTAACATTATGAGTAGACATAGTTAACATCATCTAGATAATAAACTT